CCATGTCTGCAGGCTCCAATTTTGAAGTAGAAGGAACAGTTGACTCTAGAAAAAATGTGGATAGATCAGTATCAAAACTGGACGGTGATACACAAGATCTAATACATTACCGAAGATAACAAGATGGCAATTTATGACCTGTTACTAGAAAAGAAAATGTCCAACCCGGGGGTGGACAGCATTAATTACCCATAAATTGCAACTATGCCAATCAGTGTTTTTTGTTTTTTTTTTAAATCAACCCCTCCTGTTTAACTCTAGACAGCGTTGAAGAGATCAACTGAATCACGCTTATGAGCACTGCACATCCATAGCATAGACCTCATTTTACATTCAAGGCTTGATGTATTCATCTTAAAATCAAATGCTAGCCAGTTATACATGTTTGTGTATGTAAACACTATAGCACGTCCCGCAACTTTCAAACATGAGCAGTTTTTACCATTCCCTCCAAAAGCGTCGTCTGCTGCTCTCCACTGGTGGAACAAGCCAAGATCAGTCCGCCCACTTTGCTACAAGCTAAACTGTGCATGCACGTGTCAAATAACGCTTTTACGGGACCCCACAAATGAGCCACGGGGTGAGAAATAATTGATAGAGTGCTCAGGATTTGCAAAGCACGGCACCGCGAGGTTAGCTGAGGCTCCTGGAGATCGCTTCAGGTTTCTAACGAACCTCATTCAATGCGCTAGCATCGATGGCCCGAGTAAAGAATCTAGCGGCACATCGGGTGCATAAATACACATCATTAGGCTTAAACTTGGAGGACAACGTAAACATTCTGCACACTTATAGCTGGTTTACCAATTTCAATGTTAAAATGTTAAATAAACTTACTTGTCTTTCTCAGTGCCGAAAATGGATGCCAGGTACTCCGCCATTTTCGGCTCGCGGAAACGTAAGGCCGTACGTCACTGCGCACGTACGTAGTGTAATCATGGGGTCTGCATCGATTTTAATGTAATTTTAATTATTTTTTTATTGTATTTATTAAAATGTTACGATGTTTATTATTTGTATCTTCCTTTCTTCATGTGTATGTTAATAATCTTGTAGTGTTGCATTAATGTTTTTTTTTTTTTCTTTTTTATTTATTTATTTATTTTTTTTAAATGCATCGAACATGGATCACCACTTGGATGCGCTATTGCTCAATAAAAAGCATATAGTCTGTCTGTGATAAAAAGCCACCGTTCATTCACACATCTGGAATAGACAAATTAATAAATTACTTTTAAAGCATAAAAATTCATACATTCTTACTTACTTACAGCTACAGTGTAAATATGCCAGATTATAACAGAGGTTTGTTGTTCCCTAGGTGATTAAGGTGATCCAGAACTTCATACTGATCAACCATTACTTCTATAACTATATTTTATTAGATTTATTACCTCCAAAAGCATGTCAAAGACCAGCAAAGGCCATGGTTTCATCTATCTCTCAATGCATGTACACTGGTTTCTAACTGATACTAACCACATGTTTTATTTAACTGTCAACACTCTCTTTAAAACACACTATAAAATCTTCCTTTCAAAAACCACAGATATCATGCAGGAGGCCGCACTAGTTTGCAATGTGTAGGTGAAAGGTATGGAGAGGAAGTGAACATCACATACACTCCAAAGATGATCAGCTAAAATGATGCACTAAAAATCATACACTTTAAAGGTCCCATATATGCAAAGTTGACTCTTGTGAGCATTAAACCATGTTGAAATGCTGTTACCTCATCAAAAACAGACCTGGAGTTATGTTTTGTTTCATTCACAGATCACACATGTTTGCGTGACCCTTAATTATTAGTCTGTTTACATCTCCATAACTCAAAATGCTCTGTCTACATCTCCAAAGCTCAAAATGCTCTGTTCCACCTTGTGATGAAGTGTTAGTTTTCAAATTAACAGCTACTTTTTACCTTTTGTTCAGTAGAAATGTTCAATTCCCGGGTTGATGATTTGTGAAGGTGTATGGAGTTTAAAAACACAGTGGAGAACTTCCAGTATTATTACATGACATTACAGGGTTGAACAGTGTTTTCAGTTTGAGAGAAGAACTCTAAATATGCAGGGTCTGAGTGTTAAATGTGTGTATGAAACAAAACACAACTCCATGTATGTTTGTGATGAGGAAAAAACATTATAACAGGTCAGAAAATAGCATAATAGGGTCCTTTAAAGCAAATAAGTGAGGGTTTAATTTGTGGAAAGCCACTATATGACTACCATACTTATATTTAGTGTATGCTAAAGTAGACTCTCACAAATGTACTTGCCCTCCCTCTTCTAACCATGTTTGGAAACTGTCTTCAGGTAGTAAAAGAGGAAGGAGGCAGCAGCATCATTCTTTTAAAAGGACCTTTACCTTTAGTCAGAGGAACATCTCCCTGTTGGATTTGTTTAAGGGCTGGGCAGTACCCGTTTTTAGCACACCCTGGACGATTACCGGGACTGCTCGTCTTTCAAACAGGGGAAGCTCTTAACATTTTCATTCTTTTCATATGTAATTATCTAAGAAATTGTAAATTGCTTTTCAGTTACATTTGCATATCTAATATCTGATATCTAATTGTAATTGCACAATAACCCTGGTTTGCAAGTAAGAAAGTCAGGAGTTCCATAATTATCCTCAATATCACAATTTTGCAAATTTTCTAAATTTTGATGATTAAAAACTTGAATTAATTCTAAGTAATTGCCCAGCCCTAATTTGTTGCTTGTAGAAGATGATCAAATCTTTACTGACAGAAGACAAGATGAAGGTTGGCCATCTCTGGACCTCCGCGCTGCTTGTGATGGCAGTGCTGTGTCTGACTGTGAACGCTGATAGTAAGTATATTTTAAGCGTTTTATATGATTGTATTTTCAGAATAAAAATGCAGTTAAACATAGCAGCTTCAAAGCAATTTTGGTTGTGGGAACATTACATGATTCTGAAATATTGAGGCCTATTATACATCTTCTAACTGTTAAGAGTGACCAACCTTTAATTTTAAAATATATAAAACTAGGCCAATATGCACTGTAGTTCATTGTTTTAAGTATACAGGTTATATAGCTCTTAGGCAAGAATATAAAGTGCTTTCAGTTCATTTGTTCCATAATATGAGGGAAGGAGTGGGGGAACAAGAAGTAGTAGTAGTTTAGTTTTGTAAAAAAATAAATAAAATTAATAAATACATTAAAAAAATAATAATAAAAGTAAATAAATAAAATAAATATATACATGAAAAAAAAATGTTTTGACAGTTTTGTGTTACTTTCTGAAATTATAAGTAGGTTGCAATACAATACATAAGTAAAAAATAATAACTGTGCTAAACATTGCACTCTGCTTTATGTGGCTTAGAAAATGATAATATATGATAATAACAATACAGTGATAACAGTGTAAATTATTCTTTACAGGTAAAACATGTGAAAATGAAATTAAAGTCCGCCGCCACACAACCTATGAGGCTGTACTTGGAGGGCAAGTGACGATTGCCTGCCCTGTACGATTTTGTAATGGACACACTCAGACAATCAAATGGTTTAAACTGGAAGAACAGTTTGTACAACTGAACTTGAGAGACCATATTCAAACAGAGTGGAAGGGAAACAATAATGAGGGGACAGACTTTTTAATATTTAACAACGTCCAAAGCAGAGATTTAGGAACGTATCACTGTCGAGTTGGAACAGATGTGAGTCATACAATCAATGTTACACTGAAAGGTGAGATACTCTATTATATTTGAATGATCAAATGTTCAGTAGTGTTTCCTTATATGAACAAAAATATATTAATATCTTTTAGGTGACCATGTGAATGACACTTTTCAGACACATCAAAGTGAGTTGAATTTATTTAGTCATATTCAACTTTACTTTTTTTTTTAATTGTGAACCTTGCTGTTTTGCAGATCGCACATCCACTGACAATAATGGCAACAGACTTACATGTGGCTTTACCTGTATACTACTGTGGGGATTGGAGGAATTTTCACTATTGTTGCAGTCATATCTGTTTTATTCATACGAGGATGCAACAGTAAGACATAATGGTATGATGAAATATTAATTGTACTATACTTCATAATAGTTGCTGTTGTTGTTGGCAGGTGAAACAAAGAAAAAAGCTCGAAGAGAAAACCAGGTAGAATTTATGTCACCGATGGTAAATTTATCATCTCACCAAACCAGCAGAAAAAAAAAAAATTCTCTGCTCTTTTTCAGAATGACAACATATATGGATGGATGGAGGGAGACAGACACAAAAACGGTCCAGGGGAGGAGTGGACTACTGTTGTCTACACAGTTTTGAACCATCAGCGCCTGGAAAATGCTAGCAACTGCATCTATCGGTCCAGAGCGGTAGTGAAGGAAAGGTCTGAGTAGGCTGCCATCAAGGTCTGCTATTATATTACTGAGTGACTGTTTTAACTTTTTAAAGAACCTCTAGCAAAATTCAAAACAGTACTGTAAAATCCCAGAAAATATTAAATATATGGCAACAAATATTGATACGATTGATATAACGATTGTTTTTCACCCATTTTGATTGAATGTGATAATGAACCTTTTAGCCTATACTGATGCAGCTTTTTTTTTTCTTTTTTCTAAAGTAGTTATGAAATCATTAGACATTTATTGAAAGTGCAGTTGAATATCTTGATATGTATTTGTCCAGTTCTGATTGTTTGCATTCTTCTGTTGGCATTTATTTTCATTCATTATTAATAAATGTGATAAAAACATATTTGGTACAATAAAATTCAGAGTCATTTGTAGTTAATAACAAATTGTTGGCTTTAGAAGTATATTTTCTTTCAAATATTGAAACATACTTGATGTGTAATCCCACAATCATCCAATTAGGTTCAAGCATAAAATTTTCTTTTCCTCATACTGTGGAAATTTTCAAATTGTCATTCCTTTCAAAGGAATGCCATCTCTATGGTGACAGACAGGTGGTGTACCTCTCACTAGAAAAGAATCTATAAAAAAGCATAATCAAAAGTGTGTACTTGACACCACAGCGCCTTTAGCAGGAAGTAGATTGGGCCCTTGAGAAAACATAATTTCACACATGCTCCTGTTGTTCGTGAACTTTACATTGCAACTCTCTAATTTCCCCATTGTGGGACAAATAAAACATTATCATATAAAAGTCAAGATACTATATTCAACATGCATTTAGGGTGGCTCATATTTTTGTTCTGTATAATACCTAACGCAACACTGTGTCAGCAGAGGAAAGCTATAAGGTCACAGCACTTTTGTGAAATAACTAGCTATAATTACACTTAGGTAGTGCAGTATAAGGACAAGAATACATAGGAGCTAAAGTGACTTAAGTGTATTATACTATTATGTACAATAAGTGACAATGACTATCTATCTACAGTTATCTAAAGTGCAGCATGGACAGATAAATAGCAAGTAAAGTGACTTGTGTATGTGCCAAATTTCATATATTAATATCATGCTCCAAGCTTATATATGTAATCAAGTATTACATACATGTGTTTGTGGAAAGTATTTTAGTCATGTAAGTTTTTGCCATTGAATTATACAAAAATAAATTAAAATAATTAAAATAATTAAAATACTCACATACATTCTACAGTTAAGGCTAAACACACTCATAAACACACACTTGGCTTGTAAGATTGGGCCACTGGTTTACTTTATGTTAAGTTAATGTTAATAATAATTTGCAGTACTGTACAATTTACCATCACAAAAAAGCTTTCTTTGATTAAATGTAGTCACTGTTAGAGAACTCTATTTTTTGACTGAAAAGTTACTTTAAAGTAGATACTTGAAGGTGGTAATCTTGTAGTGTAATAAGTTCTTGTTTGTAGTAAAACAGCCTGCCCTACATTACACATGGCTCAGAAATGCTCTTAGGACGTGTTCACATGATCACATTGGTTTGGTTGAAGTGAACTTGGTTTCCTGCTATGTATTCTTCTTTTGTGAAGATGTGAATGTGATTTCAATAAATATTCTCATGTGCAGAATCATACTTTTAAAAATGACCTGTGAATCCTTGGGTTTGCATCAACCACAGATCACCACTTGGGGGCGCTGTTGCTCAATTTATATAACATCATAACAAGCCACTATCTTAAATCAAGTCTGACTGAAAAATAAATTGACTGTAAAATAAAACCCATAAAATAAAATGTATTTGATGGGGAGTGGGCATATTAATGGACATCTCATTATAGCAGCGTTACTGATTCCATCTGTTCTGTCTAGGTTGGTAAAATTTTACAAAATACAAAAAAAAGAGAGTTAAAGGAGAGCGAGAACTTCATACTGATCAAACATTACTTCTATAACCACATTTTATTCGATCCATCACCGCCAAAAGCATGTCAAAGACCACCGAGGGCCTTGGTTTCACGCATCTCTGAAGGCACGCGCGCCGCTTTCAAACAAGCCTTTAAACTGGTTCACACTTTTTATCTGCTCTCTGTCCACACGCCGATGGCTCTGACTGATAGTAACCACACACTTTATAAGGTCATTTCACTGTCAACACTGTCTTTAATACACACTGTAAAAACTTCCTTTCAAAAACCACAGAGCTCATGCAAGAGGCCGCACTAGTTTGCAAGAAGAACATGAAAGGTACGGAGAGGAAGTGAACGTCACACACTCCTTAAACATGATCGACTAAAACGTGCGTTAAAAACACACAGTTTAAACAGGGTCTGATTTAATATGGAAAGCCCCTATATGTCTGCTTTCATATTTATATACACTGTGCATACTAAAGTAAACTTCACTCTCACAAATGTACTTACCCTCCCTCTTCTAACCCTGTGGGAAACTTCAGGTAGTGAAAGAGGAAGGAGGCAGCAGAATCATTCTCAGAACCTTTAAAATGTACTCAGAGGAACATCTCCCTGTTGGATTTATTATATGTGGCAGATGATCAGATCTTTACCGATACAAGACGAGATGAAGGTTGGCCATCGCTGGACCTCTGTGTTGTCTGTGATGGCAGTGCTGTGTGTTACTTTGAACGCTGACAGTAAGTATGTTTTATGCTCAGTCACTCACATGTGATTGTATTATTAACAGAATTTAAATGTAGTAGTTAAACAGCAGCTACAAAGCAATCTTGGTTTAGATTCTGAATTCTTGTTGTGAGAACATTAGGCCTCTATGATTATATACGGTTATTAGGCTGTACATTGGCTGGTCTACCTTCACTTTTAAAATAAATAAACCTATAGGCCTATATGCACTGTGGTTAAGTGTCTTAAGTAGGGTGGCTCTTATGCAAGAATATAAAGTGCTTTCAGTTAATTTGTTCCATAGTATGAGGGAGTGAGTGGGGGAACAAGCATGTAGTTTTGAAAAAAAAAAAAAATCTTTGTAACTCACCCACACATGTTTTGCCAGTTTTACAAATATTTTTGGCACTTTCTGAATTTGTAGGTAGCATATAAAATACACAGATATAGGCTGCAAAACCATACATAAGCAAATGATAATAACTGTACTGAATATTACACAGGGCTCTATGTGGCTTGTAAACATGTAAACAGTGATAATAGTGTAAATTATTCTTTACAGGTAAAACATGTGAAAATGAAATTAAAGTCCGCCGCCACACAACCTATGAGGCTGTACTTGGAGGGCAAGTGACGATTGCCTGCCCTGTACGATTTTGTAATGGATCTGCTCCAAAAATCACATGGTTTAAAATGGAAGAAAAGTTTATGGAAATTAACTTGAGTGACCGTTTTCAAACAGAGTGGACGAGAAATAATGATGAGGGGACACATTTTTTAACATTTAACAACGTTCAAAGCAGTGATTTAGGACTTTATCGCTGTCGATTGGACCTGTAGTGAGTCATACAATCAACGTTACACTGAAAGGTGAGATACTCTATTATATTTGAATGATCAAATGTTCAGTAGTGTATCCTTAAAACAAAATATATCAATATATTTTAGGTGACACTGCCAATGACACTTTTCAGACACATCAAAGTGAGTTAACTTTATTTGGTCATCTTTTTTTAATCACTGAGTTTTCTTTAATTGTGATCCTTGCTGTTTTGCAGATAGCACATCCACTGACAACAATGACAACAGGCATTTGTGGCTTTACCTTTATACTACTGTGGGGATTGGAGGAATTGTCATTATTGTTACAGTCATATCTATTGTATCAATACGAGGATGCAACGGTAAGACAGAATAGTATAATATAATATAAATACTATTATTGAATACTGATAAATTAATAGATGTTGTTGTTGGCAGGTGAAAGTAAGAAGACTCAAAATGAAAACCTGGTAATTTAGTAGCATTATTACTAATTTAGTACTTTTATATTGACTAACAAAAATATCACTATACATAAACATATATCACTATACTAATAACACAATTATTTTTGGTACTTACAGTATATGGACATCCCCATGGTGGAACAGCCAGTCCATCACTCCAGCCATCACACGTTACCTAGAGCCAGCCCCCATGCGCCGCCACCTCACCGAACCAGCAGGAAAAAGCAGTCGCCTTCCATTCCTCCTCAGACGGACAATAATTATGGACATAGACCCAGGGAGGAGGGAAGTTCTGTTGTGTATGCTGCTTTGAACCATGAGCACCTGGCAGCCGCTTCTGCACGACCCAGGGCGGTAGTGGAGGAAAGTTCTGAGTACTCTGCCATCAAGATCTCCTAAAATTAAGGACATATTATTTTACTAAGTGACTGTTTTTAGCTCTTCTAAGAACTCCTGATGAATTAGAAAAGTACAAGACCGGACTGAATTCAAAACAGTCCCAGAAACGATGTAATATATGAAAACTATTACTATTATGACTGAAAAATTATTTGCTTTTAAAGGTCCTATATTATACAAAATGTGCGCTTTAAGCCATGTTGTTACCTCATCAAAAACATACCCAGAGTTGTGTTTTGTTTCACTCACACATTTGAGTAAACCTGCATTATCAGTCTGTCTGAAAGTTTTACCTTTTGTTTAGCAGAGATTGGCAATTCTAGATCTGAAATCATCCAAATGATTCTAGTGAAAATGTGTGGAGTTTAAAAACTCAACAGAGCAGTTCCTATATTACCACATGACAAAGTGGAACTGTGAGTTTCCATATAAGAAAAGAACTCAGCCTAAATATGCAGAATTTGTGTGTTAAACATGTATGAAGGAAACAAAACACAACTCTGGGTATGTTTTTCACAAGGAAACAACATTACAACATAAATCAGAAAATAGAGCAATATGGGCCCTTTAGGCTCTTGATTGATTGCGATATGGATGACTTGGGCCTTTAAAAAACCTTACAGTATGGGTAAACACTATAACGGACTTTCATATTTAATTACAACCTCATAACTTTAAAAAAATCAAGTTCTTATAGATGAATCCTAAATAGCAATCATTAGTGTTGTACTTTTGTTTGGAAGGTCACTGCTAGTTTCTGTTCTTTCTTTCAGAAGCTTTTATTATAGACCTTAAACTTATTATAAAAACATTTTTGCATAGCTCAAAATAAAATCAATAAGATAATTCATTGTAAGTAAGTAATAACATTTGTAGAAAATATGATATGAATTAAATTCCAACCTTTTACACAGTGGGCTAACGCAATCCAACACCAAAACAGTAGATTATGTCGTATCTTTAAATTAGACACTATCAGAACAAGCAGACAAATTCCAAATTAGGATTTAATTATGGAAAATTATGAATCTACCTGGAATTGGAACAAAATAAAATAAAATAAAACCTGTCCAGTCAGCAAAAAAAAATAAGCCAAAAACAGACCAATCATAGAAAAGGAAAATAAATGTATCTATTTGAACTATGTGTTGCATGCACTTATCCAGATCTTGTCATTTATGTATTTTCTATCAAATCTGAGTGTCTAATGAAGGTTACAAGGCAGGTTAATTTTAATGATTTTATATAATGATTGACGAATGTCGTAACAGCATATTTGTGCAATAAAAGTATCAATCATTTGTAGCTTACTGGGTTTAAAATCATATTTTTTTTAGATCCTTAAGTTTAGAACACATTTGCTTAGAACAGTTGTCTCATATGATTTGAATAAAACATCTTACATAGATCTGACAGCCCCTAAAAGTCTCAAAAGTCGGCATGTTACCAGGTATGTATTTCAGACCACTTTTTTTTTTTTAACAAGAAGTAGACGCTGTGTTGTGTTTTAGCAGTGACTTTCAAAGAGGCACATTTTAGTTGGAGCCATGTCTGTCTGTGACCATCTTCACTCACTCACCCTGACTCTGAGTGCTGACAGTAAGTTTTTTTGTTTTTTGTTTTTTTTTTATCTTTGTGGAGAAAAGATAATTGGGAGAAAAACACAGAAAAGTTCACACTATATATTCTTGTTGACTTATAAAGTACACATCTGCAGAACTGCTTCGTTATTATCTCCTGCAGACAAAGATTCAGATGGTGAAAATAACCTGAAAATCTGCTGTGGCACACATCATTTGGCATCTGTTCGAGAAGGACTGAGGATGGCCTGCCCTGTCCAGCTCTGTGATGGTACAACTCCAACCGTCACCTGGTTTAAACTGGAGACAGAAGATGTAACAGAGGTGAACCTGAGTGAGCGAGTTACAACAAAGTGGATGGTGATACATGATAATGAAGAAATATTATTTTTGAACTTCCATAACGTGCTAAGCAGTGACTCAGGACTGTATCATTGTTGAAGTGGAGGATACGTGAGCCATGTCATCCAACTTTCTGTGGTTTATTTTAAAAAATGAAGGAAAAATATTTTTTTACATGTAAAATGTGTATAATAATGTTGCCTCATTTAATAATGTTTTACAGTCTGTGAAACTGACAACACATTTTATCATGCTACCACTGGAGAAAGGCTTAAGATCACATGCCCTATATGTGACCACTTCCCTCCAACAGTGGCCTGGTTTAAATATGAAAGAGGACAACGTCAAAGTGTAAAACAGGATGATCGTGTTACAACAGAGTGGGAGAGACTTAATAATTCTGATGGAATATCCTCCTTAATCTTCCAAAATGTCCTCAGCAAAGATTCTGGAGAGTATTACTGTGAGAGTAGATCACCTGTGTGGTATATCATTGTAGTTACTGTTGGTAAGAATAGGTACTACTTACTTCAACTATAACTCCAACTGAATAATCATACTTCCTAGAATCTGCTGGTACCTGTATTTCTAATGTGACTGTCTTTGCTGTTAACTTATGCAGTCTGTCTTAAGGGTGTATTTGATTAAAAACATTCTTGGTCTACAAAAACTCCAGGCATTTTTGTTGTTGTAAATCCTACAACAGTTACCTGACCAGCCAGAACCACACACTTTGACAAAACTTTACAAAGACGAGTGGATCTGGAGCTAGAATCAACAATTAAAGTGTCAAACTATTATGTCAGGTAAAAGAACGTTCTAAATGTTATGACAATTTCAAGACGAGATGGCTTTCGCATTTGAGAGATACATGATGCAAAAGAGCAGTTGTGGTTGGACTGTCTCAAGTTAGACCAGAGGTTTTTCATGCTCTATGGTCCGATTCAAACAGAAATAACTGGCTGGTCAGGCAACTACATCAGGGGTTTAGTCAGCTAGGACACTGAACCTATTGATGTGAACATGTTTCTGATTGTATTTTTTCTTTTACAGTTTGTGAAATTGATGTCCCTCATAGTTACAATGCTACAGCTGGCGATCGATTGGAGATTACATGCCCAATCTGTGAAAAAATTCCTTTAGCAGTCACCTGGTACAAAAATGACACACAGGGGTTTAGGTGAGTGAACTTGAGCGATCGTGTGAAAACCAACAACTATAGTGAGGACTCTGCAAATCATACCATAGAGATTCATGTTCATGTTACTGGTAAGGACTTTACTATTATAGCTGTAACATTGGTATTTACATGGCCTTCATATGAGATTCTCAAGGAGCATCTTTGTTTCACTGCAGATCCTCCAGCTCCTTACTATGGATGGTCTTTTCTGTATTGTTCAGTTGGGTTGATCTTATTCTTCATCATCATTGCCAGTGTTTATGTTGTACTAAAGAAATGCAAAGGTAACGCATTATTACAAAAAGACTACTACTACTACTACAACTAAATGCGTTTCATGTTGATCTTAATCTTCAGATCTTGCAGCGCTCAACACTTCAAATGTGAGAAGTACAAGTACAGACCCTCGTCACGACAGCCTCAATGAGCAAAATCATACCTACGAAAATTTCCAGCAATGTGTCTAAATGTCAGTTCATATTATTAACCATTCAAAGTGTATTATTTGTACAGTCATATGTCATTATTTTCTAAAATAAATGACCCATGTATATAGTTTAAATGGGGCTGGGGTTCTGATGGTTCTAGACGAAGGCAGAATATATCGCAGAGGAAGCTGAACTTAACCACAGACAGTTACCTTCACTTTAAATGGAAAGAGAGAATGTGTCACCAGTCTGAATGTGCTACCCTCAAGAAAAGTGTTTTCTTTCTCTTTTTAAAAAGTGTTTGTTTCTTTTTTGCTGTCGTTCATAAAATGTGGGGCTGTAGTCGACAAAATAAATTCTTGGTTGACTGGAGACATGTCCTGCAGATCGATCAGTTGAGTAAAAAAGGCAAAAGCTCTAAAACTATCTCTGTGTGTCCAAGCTGCATTCACTAACTATACAACATGACTACAAGTGCACAAGAGTTCATGCAAAAACAACTATTTATGCAAAGTACTAGGAAACTGTATTTATGTAAAGACAAATTCAACTTTTACATAAAGATACCAATAAATACCAAATCTTAAACTAACTCACTAGCTTCTCCTTTCTGCTGTTGTCCCATATAAATCCCATATAAATAATCTAATAACATGATGAGTCGACTAATATTAATTTTGACTCCATCGTGATTAATCAACTAAACGACTATAAGCTTACAGCCATAATATATCAAGAACCCAAATTGTTGCTCTTGTTGGAGATGTATGTAATAGTAGTACAAAATATTACTCGAGAAACTTGGTTAATGCAAATAGACAGTCAGCATCTTCATATCACCACTCCCTCCATAATACAGGAAATGTTACTTTTCACTTCTCAGTTTTCAGACAGCCCAACTACAAACTTAAATCTGAGCAAGTGGAAAATATTAGATTGTACAAGATAAGAGAATGTTTGCACATATTTGTATCAGAATGGGGGGATATAATCTGTTCGCGCTTGTGGGAGTGGTGTTGGTGTGGTGCTGGTGGTTTTGAATGTGCTAAACGCTCAACACTTGCACAGTGCACACTCTAATCTGAAAGGTGTCCGTGAAATTGGCCTGTAGAAAATGCTGCCATCTAGTGACCCAGATACAAATTATTTTCACATTTTGGGACGCGAACTGTGTTGCCTTTTAGTATTTTCTTAGCAATAGCCTTATTTAAAAAACTGTCCAATCAGGAAAAAGGGGCGGGGAGTAACCCGAGTGGGGACCAATCATAGAAAAGGAATCGTGGAGATACATTTGCATGAGAAGAGGAAGTGGGTGGCTCAGGATTGTCAGGCGTCAGTGACCCATGAACCTGCGAACAGTGTGGTGCAGGTCTATGTACGAAAATAGCTCTCCTACGCTGACACAGTCCCACCCATTTTCACGCACAAGCAGAAGTTCCAACGAGCATTGATATGGCTTTGGATATGAAGATTTGACCCTAAAATTCAGGACTATCATTAGGTTTATTCTAAAATTAATACGTAATACGTTTTAAATGGAAAATAGTTATAGGAAAAAAGCGTATCTGGCAACTCTGACATGGCTCCTTGGATAGGTTTAGTCGTGTTATTTGCGTTTAATTACTTTTGTCAAAAATACAACCAAAGGTACAGTTTTATTCTCACTAATTCATTGATTTATGATAACTCTATACAGAATGTCCAACAATATATCATTAAAGATATGCAACAACATGGAGACAAACAGGTGACGCCATCAGAACAAGTTGCAGATCATATCATGCATGTTTTCCAAAGTATTGTTTAGCATTAAAAACACCTGTTATTGAACAAATGCTATATATAAGTTTCAGGCTATAATGTACATTCAAGGCAAAGCAACAACATCTCCATGGAGACAAGCAGGTGGTGGACTATTTACCAGAAAAGTTACATAGTGCCCCCTTTATGTAATCAGAGCACATGGTTGCATGTAGTATGCCAGGTGTTAATGTCAGACCACAGTTTCTTTCACAGGAAGTAGCCCTGTCCTGGTCACCTGAAGAGTTTTTGTAATGAGTTTCACAGATGCACATTTCAGTTGGAATCATGTCTCTGTATGTGAACATCTTCACACTGTCCATGTTAGGAGCCCTCACCCTGCCTCTGTGTGCTCAATGTAAGTTTTGGTTTTTTTTATACTACTACTGTTAGTACTACTACTTACTAACAACAACCTACTAACTACTACTGCCAACTACTACTAATTAACTAGCCCACCACCTACTACCACTAATTAGTACTACAAATTACTACTAACAACTACTAACTACTACTACCTACTACTAACTACCTATTAAAAACTACCTACTACCACCAAATAACTACTACTACTATTATTACTACTACTTCTACGTATGTTAAGGATCTAAATAATCAATAGTATCTTGTAAAAATACATATTCTGTCTTTGTAGAAATAATAATGAAAACAGAAATATCCATCATTGTTGACTGATGATTTAAAATAATACTGTGCCAACTTCAAGTATAAGGTTTAATGTATAATCTTTTAATTTGACTGTTTATTTGCACTGTGTAAATGTAATTTGTTTTATGGTCAACAGTTCCCTCTTGAAAATGAGACAAGTATCAAGAGGCTAACGGATTAATAATAATAATAATTAGTACTATTTCCTGCAAATTCAGGTTGTGAGTTTCCTGTGAAGTTAAGCGGTCACACAGTGCTGACGTCTGTTGGAAAAGGACTGAAAATGGCCTGCCCTCTCCAGTTCTGTGATGGTGCCTCTCCAAAGGGGACCTGGTTTAAACTGGAGACAGAAGGTTTGACACCCGTGAACCTGAGTGAGCGCGTTACAACAGAGTGGACAGTGATACATGATAATGAAGGAATATTATTTTTGAACTTCCATAATGTGCTAAGCAGTGACTCAGGACTTTATCAGTGTCAGAGTGGATCAGATAGGAGCTATATCATCAAACTTTCTGGTAAGAGCTTTTGTACGTAAGCATGTCAATGAAATGTAAAAATGCACTATGTAACTTTTGTGGTGGAGGGTCTGCTACCTGCTTGTCTTCATAGAAATGTTATTGCATTGGCTGGAATGTCACCCAGCATTAAACATATCTATTTCGCTTTTTTTCCTAAGTGTATTATTGTTTGAACAAGACAAAAACAATAAAACATGTATTCTTACTGTGAGTGGGCATGCGTTTCCACAGATATGGCCTGTAACTTGGCCTATTAGCATCACCTGCCTGTCTTCATGGAAATACGTACGTTTAACAGCCCTAGATAGTGCTGAAATGACTCCTGTGAGCTTCGGGTTACAATGCTGTTACCGCATCAAAAACATACCTAGAATTGTGTTTTGTTTCATTCACACATGTCAACATCTCTAAACCTCAAAATGCTCTGTTCCACCTTGTGCTGTCATGAAGCAATAGTTTTCAGGTTAACAGTTACCTTTAGTACAGTAGAGATGGGCAATTCCAGGGCTGAAATCATCCAAATGATTCTAGTGAAGGTGTACGGAGTTTAAAAACATAGGGGAGCACTTCCTGTATTACCACATAACTTCACAAAATCAAAGAATGTTTTCTGTTTGAGAGAATAACTCATCTTAAATACGCATTTGTGTGTTCAAAACATGTGTGAATGAAACAAAACAGACTCCTCAGGTATACTCATTATAATTTTGATTAGATAGTGTAATATGGGCCCTTTAATGCCACACGATAGGGAATAAACAACATATTAACATCTCTATGGTGACAAACAGGTAGCAAACCCTCTACTATTTAAAATGTGTATAATAATGTTTTACAGTCTGTGAGGCTGATGTCCACCACTACACAGTTTGTCACACTACAGCTGGAGGGGCTCTAAATATTACCTGCCCAGTAACAGTATGTGACAAAGCACTGCCAACTGTTTCCTGGTTTAAATGTGAGTCAGACAGCCTTTTACCTATGAACGTGAGTGATCGTGTGACTACAGAGTGGACAAGAACCAACAGCTCCCATGCTACGTCATTTTTAATCTTCCACGAAGTCCTCAGCAGTGACTCAGGGCGATACCTGTGTAGAGGAGGCTCTGCAAATCATACCACAAAGATTCATGTTATTGGTAAGGATCAGGTAAGGATTTACAAGGTCTTCATTTGGATTTTTAAGGGAGTATCTTTGTTTCCCTGCAGATCCTCCAGCCCCTTACTATGGCTGGTCCTTTCTGTACCGTTCAGTTGGGTTGATCTTATTCTTCATCATCATTGCCAGTGTTTATGTTGTACTAAAGAAACGCAAAGGTAATGCATTGTTACAAAAATACTTCTAATACTGCTACAAATACTAGTACTAATATGACTACTAGTACTAGTACAATTACAACTACTAGTACTAATACGACTACTAGTACTAGTACAACTACAACTGTTAGTACTAATATAACTACTGGTACCTATACAACTACTAGTGCTACTACAACTATTAGTACTACTACAAGTACTAGTGCTACTACAACTACTAGTACTACTACAGCGACCACAACTACTACCACAAATACTACGACAACAACTACTACAACAACTATAACAACTACTAGTACTACAACTACTACTGCTACAACTACTAGTACTATTACAACTACAACAACTACTACTAGTGCTACTACAACTACCACAACTACTACTACAAATACTACTATAACAACTACTACAACTATAACAACTATAAGTACTGCAACTACTACTGCTACAACTACAAGTACTACTACAACAATAACAACTGCTAATGCTACTACAAGTACTAGTACTACTACAACTACCACAGCTACTACCACAAATACTACTACAACTATAACATCTACAAGTACTACAACTACTACAGATACCACTACAACTATTACAACAAATACTATAGCTACTACTAATACTGATGCTAATAAAATAATTTCATGTTGATCTTCAGATGTTGCAGAGCTCAAAGATGTGAAGGCCTCAACTGTGAGAAGTACAAGTACAGACCCTTATTACGACCCTTATACACGCCTCAGTGAGCAGAATCATATCTATGAAAATGTCCTGCAATGTGTCTAAATATCAGTCCATATTATTAACCATTCAAAGTGAATGACCCATGTATATAGTTTAAATGGGGTAACGGTTTTGAGGGTTCTAGATGCAGGCAGGATATATTGAAGAGGAAGCTGAACTTAACCACAGACACTTACCTTCACCTTACTGGAAAGATTGAGTGTGCCAACAATCAAAGTGTTAAAGTGAATTTGAACACCCTCAAAGTTTTTTTGTTTGTTTTTGATTTGAGAACATGAATTGCTGATCTGGTTCTGTGTGAAATGAATAAATGTAAGATGAACAATTTCCTTTTGGGGTTAAATTAAAGTTACACAAATAGTTTTTTTTTCTTCTTTTTCAACAGTAAAAATAGCTTTCGTCCTTTACATCATGCTCCAAACAAAGAATAGAGCATACGACCACTTCTGAAAGGGGTTTAGAAAGACACAAAATCGAAAGCTGAATGAGTGGAACATATTAGACTGAATAATATAACAGAACCTGATTTGTCTCAGAATGGGGAAATTTCTGTATTTCAGAAAAACACAGTAATCAGAGGGTCTAATTTCCCCATGTGGATAAATAATTAAAGTTATGCAAATAGTATTTTCCCCTTCTCTTTTAGCAGTGCAAATGACTTTTACGTCATGATCAAAACAAAGAATAGACAAAAAAACATAGTAATCAGAGGGTCTGTCTGAACCTGTGGGAGGTGTCACCCTGGTGGTTTTAAAAGTGTTAAGATCTTTTCCACCTGCAGTCTCCTTAACCTGATCTAAATCTGCGTATTAGTCACATATTTTCAAGTATCAAAATTACTAATAATAATTAGTAAGGAAGTGAATAAATAAATAAATAAATAAATAAATAAATAAATAGAAAAACTGGATGGAATTGAATACCAAATGCTAAATAAATACTACAAAATACTAAATACTACAATATGTTGCCATCTAGTGGCAGACCTGCAAAATTTGTTTTTGAAAGGTTTTCATGTTTTTCCAATTCTGACTTGGTTTGGTGGGACAATAACTGGTAAAATATTTAGCTTAGTTTTACATCAGTTATGTAGTAATTTGTGGAGTTCTAAAATTGAATCTCTCTTCTCAAATACAGGATCAGTTTACATGCAGTTTAACAAAATAAAGGCGTTGTCATTTATTTTTATAAGTCTAATCATAACTATTGTGAAATTTAGGATCTTGTTAACATTATGGTTGCTATAGGTAACAGCGATGGAACTACCTCATGTCTCCTGTCCATGACCAACCAGGAAGAAAAATTTTAAACTTTACCAGAATAAAAAAAAACAACAACAAACTAGGCCAATTGTTAAGTAAAATCTTATACATAATGATGTTGACAGTGAAAAACTTCTCATATGTTCTTTAAAGGGCCTATATTACACTTTTATACTGTTATAATTTTGTATCCTCATCACAAAACTAAATCCTGCATACATAGGAATTCTTCTCTCTAACTGACAACACTCTGTTCCACCTTGTGATGTCATGTGGTAATGCAGGAAGTGCTCCACTGCTCCATACACCTTCACTTGAATCATGTGGAGGTTTTCAGCCCTGGAATTACTAATCTCAATTCTGAACAAAAGGTAAAAGGGAGCGGTTAACTTGAAAACTACCATTTCATGACATCATAAGGTGGAACAGAGCATTTTGAGCCGAGATGTAGACAGACTGATAATAATGGGTTGCTCAAACGTGTCAAAGAAACAAAACACAACTCCATGTATGTTTTTGATGAGGTAAGAACATTGTAACATGACCAAAAGGTCACAAGAGTCAATTTTGTGTAATATAGGACCTTTAAGTTACACAACAGAGCTTATGTCTACTGGTTTAGGCTTGAGGTGTGACAAACTCCAACCAATCTGTGGTGTAATATTGAAGAAACAAGACCTTAAGTTTAATTTTTATTTTATTAACAGAAAATAAAATACTATGATTAGGGCTTACACTTTATATAAATAATACTAACAAAAGATTGATTTGCAGATGAAAAGGAAAAAGATTCTATTGTAGTGTTGTTAGTGACTTCATTATAATACCAAATGGTTAACACAACGGCCTACACCCGTATGTTCCATAGCACAAAAGCTTTGACCACAAATGAAGTAACAAGTCAACCACTGCTTTTATTGTGCATGTTGTGAAGCTAGAATAACTTCTCTAAGCTTACTCATAGCGGCATTATGAACTTATCTGGTTTAAATGAGCTTTCTGCGTCTTTAAAAATAATATTATAAAGTTAGTCTTGCAGGTTGAGGTTGCGTAGGTGTGCGAGTCTTCTCTTTGATGCCTTCTCGGTTCTTTTTGTTCAGTCAGGGTGCAGCAGTTTTCAGACAAAGGTGAAAAGGTCAAATCAGCATCTGGCCCCAAATTAGTCTGTAAAGGGAAAAAACACAAGTATTTTTTTTTAGCAAGTTAGTATTTCAGACTAGAAAATATATTGTTTTTAGCAGAGAAATGTGGGTAGATTAAGTTTATGTAGATTCAAGTTGTAGTATGTTTCGTTCAGAAGAAAGAAAACAGTTGGACAAATTAGATGCCAGCTTTTGTGTTTGACATTAACATTCTTAGCGTTAGCCAAATGAAGGAATAGTTAACTGGGTATGAATTTTAAAAAGTAAAATAAAATAAAATAGATAAAAAGAATAGTAGTTGGTTCAAGTGGAAGTAAATGTAGGTCTATTAGTAAAAACAACATGATAGCAGTTAGGACAATAACATAAATAGTTGGTTTGTAAGTAGTAGTAGTAGTAGTAGTAGTAGTAGTAGTAGTAGTAAAATTTAAGTAGTTGTTGAAGTAGCAAGAAATGCCAATTATTAGTTTCCAAGTAGAAAGACATGTTAAAAGTTATACTGTGAAACATGTCACAAGGTCCAATATTACACAAAACTGACTCTTATGAGCTTTTAGCCGTGTTATAATGATGTTATTTGATCAAAAACATACCTGGAGTTGTGTTTTGTTTCATTCATTATAAGTCTGTCTACATCTCCAAAGCTAAAAATGCTCTGTTCCACCTTGTGATGTCATAAAACCGTAATTTTCAAGTTAGATACCTTTTACTTTTAGTTCAGTCAAGATTGGCGATTCCAGGGCTGAAATTATCAAAATGATTCTAGTGAAGGTGTATGAGTTTAAAAGAGAAAATGAGAAAAGAACTAACCTAAATATACAAGATTTGTGTGTTACATATCAAACAAACCAAAACTCTAGGTATGTTTTTGATGAGTAAACAACATTATAACATAGATCAGAAAATAGCGCAATACGGGCCCTTTAAGCTCTAAATTTAACCTTCTGTCTACAAGCATGTAGAAAGTATTTTTGCTCTGCTGGGATTCAAAACAGCAGTGTACCAAAATATAGTAATCACTTTGAATCTCTGTGGCACAAAACACCACATGCTTCTTAAAATAATGACACTGTGCATTTCAAAACAATAATTAAGTGAGAGCCACACCTCCAAGAACATGTGGCAGGCATTTTATCCCAAAGCAGTAATGTCTGTATGTAGCCTGAGTGTTTAAACATATGGGCTATACTGGCAAATGGTAAATCACTCAACACTCCTTCGAAAATGTAGTGAAAATAGCAGCCAGGTGGAATTTGTTTAACATTTAGACTCCATGATGGATAGGGACGTTTATTTGTATTTTAAGCCATTTTGGAAATACTTCAATACTTACATCTTAATTAGCCTTTATTTTTGTTACACTTTTATGGGGTATTATCTGCTACCACAGGGCATATTTAGATCACCATGTTACCTTTATTGTTTTGAAAATGCTATATTCACATAAAATTATGAATTGCCATGTTTTATAAATTTCAGTTTCAGAGCATCACCTCCCATTGCTCTCTATGCAATTCACCCCCCCCTCAGAGCGCTATCATAGCACAATCAGCGTGCTAAATCGCTAATGAAACTCCTGCACATAGTATCAGGTTTGTCAAGTTGTTGTGTACAGTTAAGTATCATGTTTTTGTATATTTATGGAGAATTGTCGTGTGGGATGGGTGATGTAGGCTTGAGGGTGGAGCATTGGACAGAATCTTACGGTTAACCGTAAGAAGACTTTGAATAGGACCTGGGAGAGATTTTCAAGGAGTTAGGATTAGGGCATTATTTACATAGTTACTAAGCTTGAATCATTCTCAGAGGTGGGTAGTACTTCAGTAACTTCTTAAAGAAATTGGTAAATTTTCTAGGAGCATGCTTTTACTGCTTGAACAATATCATTACTGCAATACTTTTGCATGAGTAAAATTAAAAGTAATCTGTAAATCAGATGTTACACCCAGACAGTTACAATTTAAATTACTCGCATAGTAGTACTGCCGTTACCCGTGTAACGTCTTGGACTACACCTTTTTGCTTATACTTGAGTAATATTATTTCAAGTGCCTTTACTCCTGCTTGAATACAAATGTTGGCTACTCAACCCACCTTTGATCATTCTTAATAAGCTATTCAAACTTATTATGCTTTATTATTAAGTTCATTTCTCACTGACCTCACTGTTACCTCTAAGTGTTTGTCAAAAAGGATATGACCACTCCCTCTGTTCCAAATTCCTGTCCCGTTTTAGATTAAAGAAGCGCTGAAAACACTTAGATTGGTTTATCTGTTGCATTTGCAGTCATGCCATCCTTCTGCATTAAATCAAAGCACTGTGAAACTCAGAGCCTGAAGTGGTAGTGATTAAGAATAGCATGTTACTAGAAGGATACATGCCCTAGTGCCCAAGTGAGAAAACACTTAGGGGTTTGGGTTTGGTTTGGCTGGTGGTTAAGTTCAGACATTACACAGCCTAGATTGGGCATGAAAGGGTTTGAGTTACGGTCAGCCAAACACAATAAGAACACTTGTTTGGCAACATGTGACATATGAGGAGGGACTAGATTCAAAGTTTAAAGTGGGTGTATACTAGTCTACAGTATGTGGTCTTACACTTATTCTGACACACCTCAAAATCATTCTAAAGCGAATCTGGATAGGGTCATTTCCGTCCTGTGAATATGACTTTTTTTTTTTGTATAGACATCTGTGCAAATGAGTATGTAGTTTTGTTGTTTCAGAATCAATTAATATTTGATTGTTGATACTTTTGACAACCCTACATATAACCAGGCTAAAAATAATGTCAACATTCAATAACAAATGACAAAGATAATTCTGGGTTAAGCCTTCCAAGCCTCCCAAAAAACTAAATCTTGCCAAAGCACATGTAATGCTGTTGCTTTTGCATCTTTGGACAATACACTCCACCCACGGTTTATTCCAGTGAAAACTAAAGGGAGGTTGTACTTGAAATGGCATCAGGTTTTAAAAATTATGAAATAACTTGGGCATCGGTTCCACTCCATTTGCGAAGAGAAAAATAAACTAAACTAAAATGGATTAAAAAAATTAATGAATGAATAAATTTAATACAAAATAATACCCTCAAATTGTCAATAATTACTTGTGAAGAAATATTTATGATTTCGACACTACTTGAGTTTTGCTTGGCTTGACGTCTCCAAAAAAAGTCTCTGCCTGAAGGAAGTAACAACAGCTGATATACGACACGTCACCACCAACACCGGTGACAGTTCTGAAGATGGCTTGCAGCTAGCAGCCGAAACATGTCAACAAGGTAAACACACTTTACTGCATTGTCTTTAAAAAGAACCCAAGAAGTTAAAGTCTCTGCCTGGCTAATATAAATGCACAAGTAAGGTATTGTCTTCCGACTCCCCTGAGACCTTGGCCACATCTCATTTCTCTTTCCTTGCTTCTTTCCTCGCTTCTTGATTCCTCTCCTCAGTTCTGCAGAAAATGGTTGAGGAACTTCCACCCACAGAGGAGACACAGCAAGGAGAAAGGATATACACTCCTCACTGAGATCAACAAAGTTTGATAATTTTATCTGATGCCTGCTTCCTGAAGCCTCCCTCATGTTTACTCCTTTCTTCCATGGTTTTCTTTGTGACACCACTTAATACACACTTGATTGTCTGCTGAAGAAAGGAGAATCGAGGAGACGAATCAGGGAGAAGGAAGCGTGGAAAAAGAATTGAGACGTGGCCCTCGACTCCATCTGCTTTCTGTCACATTAACTTCCTGTTTTCCTCGATTGACCCTAGCTAGTACAAACCCATAGCCTGAACTACAACCCAAACAGGACACAAAGAAATGTCTGTTTGCCTGTCTACAATTCTATTCAGTATCCACAGTTTTATTTTTTGCTTCAGTGCCTCTAACAGGGTTTCTTGGTTTTACTTATTACTATGTTTGGTGGGACTGAACCTGCGGTAAGTATTCGTCATCATCACCTTTATGAAGAAAGTTTGAAAAAAGGTTGACAACTCCAGCAGGGGAAGCCAAGTTCTAAATATAAATCCACATATGTCATTCCAAAATGCAAGGACAAGTTGAATGAATGAGCCAAGTTTTATGACAATTTAAATATTAATTAAACTAAATAAAGATGTCATAATTTATTTTTAGTAATCAAACTTTAACTAACTGTGTAAATTAGACAAACTTTGGCCCTTGTTTACAGTATGGTTGCTATATTACAATTACGAATGACCTTTTCTTCACGTCTGCTGCCTGTGTCCAACCAGGAAGACAAAGCTAAACTAAACTTCACCAAAATGGTCCAACTACGGGAAACTAGGCCAGATTTTTAACAAAATCTTAATAACTATATTTTAGAGAAATGTGTAGTTACAAGTATTAGCAATTCAATTTTAGAGCTGTGTAAATCACATTGACATTTAGACTGTTTTTGTCTCACCACAAGGACTGTTGATGTCTGTCCTCTTTGCTACCACTGAAAAACATGGGCTTCCTTATCTCATAAAACACAAAGAGTAGGCGGGGTTGAGAGGAAGTGGGAAATATAAATCATAATATGGTCACAGAAAGTATGTTTTAGTTAACTTGAGTTTGCTTAACAGAAAAACAGTGAAAGTCACCAGTGGAATTGCTCCTATTGTTTGACTCATTTTATTGAGGCACTGATTAAGTTTTATCTCACAATTGAGTCAGATTTTGTTAACAGAAAAATGTCAAGGTTGGCATTTTACTGGCACAAAGAGGCGATAACGGAAACGAAAACTTTAGCGAATTGTTGATTAGAAACGCCTATCCGATTCCTGCCAAGTCCAAGTGGAATATCAAACGTTGAGAGCTTTGAGCTTTTCCACTTGTTCTGAAAAACCTGGAAAATTTTAGTTTGCTATCACCACCTAGCTATCTTTTTACTCACACTTCCAGGATGTCCGTATGTTTAGCTTCTTCTATTTTAGGCTACCGTTGGTACCTGTCTGTCACATTCACAAGAGATACTTAAAAGGGCCCATATTACTGTATTTTCAGATCTATGTTATACTGCTGTTTCCTCATGAAAACATATTTGAAGTTTTGTTTTGTTTCATTCACACATGTTTAATACACAAACTGCATATTAAGAGTGAGTTCTTCTCTCAAACAGAAACCACCTTGTGATGTCATGTGGTAATACAGGAAGTGCTCCATTGTATTTTAAACTCCACACACCTTCACTAAAATCATTTGGATGATTTCAGCCCTGGAATTGCCCATCTCTATTGAGAAAAAGGTAAAAGGAGCTGTTAACTTGAGAACTACCACAACATGACATTACAAGTTGGAACAGAGCATTTTGAGCTTTGGAGATGAGGACAGACTAATAAACCAGGATCACTCAAACACGTGTGAAGGAAACATAACACAACTCCGGGTTGTTTTTGATGAGATAACAGCATTATAACATGGCTTAAAGCTCACAAGAATCAATTTTGTTTAATACAAAACACCCCACCAAGCCACAAGATGAACAAATTTATCTGAGCGTGATCGTAATGGTTACTTAATTATGTATCTATGCTGCTATTAAAATCTTGTATGAGGTGAGCGGCTGTAACTTGCAGAGTCAAAAATAAAAATAGAGTTTGTGGTATCCCAGTGACCTTACTGTTATGAAATGCTGCTTTCCACTTCCCAACATCTCTATAGTAAGCTCTTGAGAACTATTGTGTCTAAGAATAATGCAGCTGTGTGTGAATTCAAACAATACGATATGCAAAAGCCATTTGAAAGCCTTATTAGCCTGCTGTTTTTCACGGAGATGCCATTGTTTTGTCTAGAATCTCGTATCCGTCTTGCATTTACTACCACTAATAACATGGGTTTTCATTGACCTAAAAACTGGGCAAGCCTCTCTACTAGGGATGTAACAATAAATATCATGATATTGTATTGTGAAAAGTCTCACAATAATATCGTGGGCCATCACAATATATCTAATCACAAGTTTCTTTGCTTAAATGCATTGTTTTATAATAGTAACAGCTTATAAACATAGGGAACTACATATCCCATGATTCATTTCAGTGCAAACAATATGAAGAAATATGTTTTTTGCTTGAATTCTTGGGATTATGATGGAAAAAATTCACACCAAAATCTTGTCAAGGTATTTTAAAAGCAAAAGTGTCCTTTCTACAATTGTATTAGCCTCTCCAAAATACCCCAATAAGTATCGTACCGTGAGATGCATATAGTGATAATATCGTACCAAGAGATTTGGACAATGGGCGAATTTGGAGTCGGTTCCAAATTAGGAAATAGGAATGTATTTACAAAAAAAAAAAGCACCAGGGTCATGTACAACAGGTTAATCTGAATATTTTAAGACCAAAATGTTGAGACTCACTGCAACAGTTAAAGGGAGAGGGGTGACAATTTTTCAGTGTAAAGTCAATTGGAGCCAGAAGCACCACCATGAACACTTTCTATGATTATATACATTCTATGGATAGAACTAGCATCCCAAAGCAGTATGAAGACTTTTAATTACCAGTAAACAATATTTTCTTGATAATAATGTAGAAAACAGCGCTGCAAAAAGAATTAGTCTAAAGTACTGCTGGACATCCGTACTTTGAAAAGCTGCAAGAATCTATATATTGTGTGGAAAAACGTTATGAAAAGCCAATCTACTGACCATCTTTTAAAAATATGAAATAAGGATTAGACTTACCATCGTTGCAGAAAAAGCATTTGCAGAGGCAGACGCATAAACAGATCAGTAACACAACTACCACTCCGCACACGGCGAGGAGCACGATCAGAGCTGGACCCATTGAACCAAAACAAACAACCATTGTTACTTTCTTACTGACCAAAAATCTTTATATATGTAGGCATTTGGAGTTGAATCCAAAACTAAATATGTAATTTCCTCTCTATTTGACATTTTTAAAGATACTGCTATGTCTGGAATGTTCCACTGCATATCATTAAATGTGTCTATCTCCATGGAGATAAGCAGATGTTGCCACCAGAAGGCCGAGTTACAGATCAAATCTGTGGAGTGAGAATGCAGAGTTTTCCGTGTTATAATGGAAAATTTTAAATATTTGTGAATGCAAACTAGGTACGTTTAATGTCATACTGTGGAAAATCCGTGTATCATTCGTTCATTCGTTTTTCAATATAAAACCAAAAATAAGAAAACGAAAAAACAACAGTTTTCTTCGTTATTTGTCTCCAAAACCAAAATGAAAAAACGGATAACGATTCGTTTTTTCAGTTTTCGATTTTGTGTTTAAATGAAGAATGGAAAAAACGGATTACGGCCGTTTCCCGTTTACGTGACTTCCGTGACTGCGATGCCGAACTTTTGCACCGCATACGGACTGAACCGGGACTGATCCAGGTCCGAGACCAGACCGAGACCAGAGCGGGACTCAGACCGGGACCAGACCGGACTCCGAGCTTTGACTCCGAGCCTCCACGGGGTCCGAGCCTCAGCTTCGAGCTCCGGCCCTGCCGTGGGCTCTGAGCCTCCGGTCTGGTCCCGGTCTGGTCCTGGTCTTGTCTCGATCTCGGTCTCAGGCCCGCTCTGGTCCCAGTCTCACCGCATACGGACTGAATCAGGACGGATCCAGGTCCGAGACCAGACAGAGCTGCTCTGGTCCTCCGCGCTCAAGAACCGTGGCTGATTCCGAGGTGGTGCAAAGCCTCCGACTGACGCTTTCACCCCAACGAAAACGAACCGAACTAAGACCGGGACCAGAGCGCTACTGAGACTCAGTCCCGGTCTCGGTCCCGCTCTGGTCCCGGTCTGGTCCCGGTCTCAGTCCCGCTCTGGTCTCGGTCTGGTCTCGGACCTGGATCAGTCCTGGTTCAGTCCGTACGCGGTGCAAAAGTTTGGCATCGCAGTCACGGAAGTCACGTAAACGGGAAACGGCCGTTATCCGTTTTTTCCTTTCTTCATTTAAACACAAAATCGAAAACTGAAAAAACGAATCGTTATCCGTTTTTCATTTTGGTTTTGGAGACAAATAACGAAGAAAACTGTTGTTTTTTCGTTTTCTTATTTTTGGTTTTATATTGAAAAACGAATGAACGAATGATACACGGATTGTGGAACATTCCAGATGAAGCAATACATCTACACAGAGACAAACAGGTAGTGGCAGTTACATTAAAATAGCAATAATTTTGGAAAAATAATACTTACAGTCCATACTGTTTGGTAGAGAAACCACAAGAGGTTTTTCTAGTCCGGGATGATGAATGATACACTTGACATCACTGAGCGCTTCTGATTTTAATAAGACTGTACTGGTCTCTGTAGTAGTTCCATCACTGTGGTTATAGGAGTAGTACATGGGGGCTCCTAGTGTCCGATTGAACCCCCCAAAGTCCCACTCAATCTGGGCTAAAGGTTTGGACTGAACACTGCAGTTGGCTTTTATGTCACCGGACGGGAGGGTCACGTAGTTCATCTCTTGCGTTGGTAAAACTGGAAACCAAGAAGACAGATTACTAGTATATTCTTAGATAAAATGTTAAAAACGTTAATTTTAACTTATCTATTGAAAATGACTACTATCATCAAAGGCCTTTAAAATTATGGGTGAGAGCAATTTTAACAACAAGGATTATGCAATGTTTAAAGGTCCCATATTACACAAAATTTACTCTTGAGAGCTTTAAGTCATGTTATAATTTTACCTCCTCAAAAACATGCCTGGAGTTCTGTTTTATTTCATTAACACATGTTTGAGTAACCCGTTATAATTAGTCTATCTACATCTCAAATTATTTTAAAATAGATCAAACTTATTACCAATATAACTATGCCTGGTGTTGATTCTTACCATAGATAGTGAGGCAGGTCATTGCGCTCTTCGTCCCATCTGGATACGTATGGAACTCACAAGTATAGCAAGCCTCATCCTCCAGCTTTACTTCCTGTATGGACAACTGTGAATCGCCCAGAGTTTTATCCAAACTAATTCTATTTAAAAACATTTCTGCAATGCTAAAATGCCCTTGTTTGGAGTAGGATGCTATTACAGTTCGTTTCTGGCCTCTTTTCTTCCACACAACTTGCAGAACTCTTGATGGTAACGTGTACGAGCAGGAGAGATTGGTTGGCTTGCCAGCTATTGCAGTCGTGTTGCTTTTGTGTTCCACAGTTCCTGGGGGATCAAATAAAAGCAATGTGTCAATGTGTCAATGAATATTAGGTCAGAAATGATTTTACATGGGGTGAATCATTGTTCAGTGCATCCCATAGTGACTACACCTAGGGCGATATAATTTCATAGAAGGACACGCCTTGGCAAGTTGTATGGGTGAGTACTTGTTTGTCCTGGAGTGAAAACTAGCGTTTGACCTTTAAATTTCAAATGTCAGATTTATATAACACTTTTCCCTCCATATGCAGTAGCATTTCCTTCTTGGTATGATCCACAGTCTGGCATTACAGTCATGCTATCAGGGCAAGTAAAGACTAGCAATAAAAGTAAATGTGATTGAAAAAATGCAAGACGGAAGATTAATGCCATATATGGAACATTTCTGGAAAAGTATACAGCAAAAAATCTCCATGTACCCATCTGTGTTCACAAAGTTAAGAAAAAACTTTTATTTAGGAGCAAATTTGGAGCCAAGTTCCACATTAGTAATACAAATTTATTTATGGACAAAATAAAACAGCAAAATAAAAACATCAGGATCATGTAGATTGGGTAAAAATTACATTTTACAACTAAAATGAGAGAGGGGAGACCGTTTTTCAATGTACAGTGAATTGGAGCTGGAAGCGCTCTCATGCCCCCACTTCCTATTTGGAATGGGGCTGCTGGAGGGTTAGCTATGTTCATTTATATATTTCTAAAGTTCATGTTGGCAACTGCTTATCCAATCAAAAAACTGAATGAGACCCTTACAATGCTTTGGGTTGGAGCAGGTCATGGCGAGCCAGTTTAAAATCTGATTATTGTTTTAAATCAGTGGAATTGCATGTAACACCATTTTCAAAAGCCAATCCAAACATTTCCTTACCAGTAACTGAAACACAGGTCTTTCCTTGTTGCCGACCACCTGGATACACATCGAATATGCAGACGTAGCAACCCTCGTCCTCTGGCTTTACCTCTTTTATAGCAATGGTACTGAACTCGGGATGGGACAGGATGAGGTGCACACTGGGGTCCTGGACGCTAACAGTGGGAGGAGAGACTGGCGTGTATGCTAGCAGGGTGTGCTTGTCTTTGTTGAGCCATCGGATTTGACGAACTTTGTTGTTAGGGGTGAGAGTGATGCTACAGCTGAGGTTAAGAGGCTGGCCCACTGTAATAGTAAGGGCGGACGGAGCAGTCACCACACCTGGAAACAAGAAATAAACATATTAAATTTCATTTTTGATTCACTATTGGTTAATTAAAATCAGTCATCTACAAATAATTCTTCAATAATAATTTAACTTGTAACAGACATTAACATTTTAAGGAGTATCCAAACTTTTTTTCACCATATCAAAATATATTCAAAGCAGATTTTACATAACTTTAACAGAGCTACTGCACCTTTAATAAGGCTTGGAACAGTAATTTTAGCTCTGTATCACAACGGTATGTGATGTCATTGAGTTTATAATGGTAGAACAAAATAAAATGCAACAGAAATCAGTTGACGTCATTTTTGTATTTGAATTGTTATACCCAAAAAGGCAAACAATGATTGTCTAGTCATCCTGCATGTTTTTAGGATTACCACAGTAAGTTCCAACACAAACGTTTATAGGTAAATGGCAAAAGAAATCACAGTAAATCATTTCTTTCTGCATGATTCCTAACATAGGTTCAGTATATTGACAGGTGACACATTTCTACACATGTTTCAGTTGAAAATATTTTGTTTGTAGCTTTTTTTTCTCCGTATTATCGCACATACCTGATGTCCGGGACACAGCCAAAACTAACAAGCAGAGCAGCAGACAAAGGGGCCAGGTTGGTGTACACATCGCAGTCCTCAGCTGGTTACCGTGGCTACAGGAAGAAAAAAAACAAAGCCTCAACAATGTCTGGGAATGTCTAAAAACAGCATTAAAGAGGAATGTTGTGGTAGACTTACTATAACAGTTGTCCAGTGGTCCGCCTAGTCCTACCACATTTTATAGCAAATTCACTCCAAGCTAGATAAAAATAAACCAAAGGATGACATTAGTTTCCTTCTTTGCTATCTATTATTAAAAGTACATTATGTAACTTTTCTGGTGGAGGGTCCATCGCCTGCTTGTCTCATGAAAATGTTATCGCTTTGCCTGGAATGTTCCACAGAATGGCATTAAACTTGTCTAAATTTTCATTCATTCAGTTTCAGGTGTTTTTATTGATAGTGTCACCTGCTAGTCTCCATGGCGACTGCAAAATGTTGTGCTATTTTTTTCATTTATATTCCAGGCATAACAAAAACTATTTTATGGAGAATAAAAGGTTTTCGGACCACCTACCTAAAAACACAGAGCATCTTTAAAAGTCTTATATTACACCGGATTGACTCATGAGGTTCGAGCCATGTTAGAATGTTAGAATGTTAGAATTACATACCTCGAGTTGTGTTTTGTTTTGTTTTGCTCAAAATGCTCTGTTCCACCTAGGGTTTGGCGGTATCCAAATTTTGATACTGTTGAACCTTCTCAGGATTTTACCGGGGTATACAGTATTACTGTATTACCAAATGCTTTAGTATCATTTTGGTAAGGTACGAAGCCACACCGCTTTTATGGTCTATGCGTATGACCTGCAAATTTATAATCTCTGAAAAGTTTCACATGAACCATCTCCAACATGACACATGCACAGAACAGACTCATCGACAGTCGCACATCCTCTGTTGCAGAAAGAACACACATAATCCACTGAGTCGCGTCCTTTCGTCTGCCAGAAGCTGAACCGCATCAGTGCACAAGAAAACAGCAGCTTTTATCAGCACTTTATAGTTTATGCAAATGAGCCATGTTTTGTTTCTGTAAAATGTAAACAAATGTGCACCTGAAGCCAAAATGCTGCCAAATTGCAGAGGTACTAGCATTTTTTGTTTTGTTTTTTTTTGGACCAACTGTCTTGCCATCATGTCTTGGTCTCAAACCAAGTGTGTCAGGTGACAACGGAACAAAACTAATCAAGGTCATCTCCCCACAAAGTTAAAAGAAACATTATAGACACTATTACTTTTAAATTGTGATTGCATTAAAGTGAAAATACATCTACGCATTCATTTGTGCCGAGCAAACAAAGTAAGGTATCAATAAATTATAATATTATATTAGGCCCTTATGCACTGCTGATTTTTTTAATGACGGTAATGAAACTTATACCGTTGCTACTTTTTGATACCGCGTTATACTGTAATACCATAATACCATATTACTGCCCAACCCTAGTTCCACCTTGTGATGTCATGCAGTGGTAGATTTCAAGTTAACAGCTATCTTTAATCTTTTGTTCAATAGAGATTGGCAATTCCAGGGTCTGAAATCATCCAGATCCTATATTGACACATGAGACAAGGTGGAGCAGTGCTTTCAGTTTGAGAGAAGAACTCAGCCTAAAAATGCAGGATTTGTGTGTTAAACATGTGTGAATTAAACAAAACACAACTCCAGGTATGTTTTTGACAACCAAACAACATTATAACATAGATCTGAAAATAACATAATATGGGTCCTTTAAGCAAAAAATGCAAGGGAAACTGTTGTGTACAAGGTGTTGCTATGGTAAACAACCTTGAAGCGTCACCAGGCTACTGCTACCGGATCTAATGGAGATTTTATTGCTAGTCACACAGCATGGTCCACAGTACAATAAGCTCCTAATTATGGTGCAAGACAATTACAGGGTCACTTTGAAGTCTAGACAACACCAATCCCTCAGATTTCAAAACAGATACTTAGGTGGCCCTCCAAAAATTGTCCATAATGAAGCAAGATGAGAATTAGTCACACAGGTAAAGGTATTGGAAAAACGCAGGTGGCTTCATTGTAAAAAAATATCATAAAAAGGTGTGATAAATTTTACTAGCGTGTATCAAGTTACATGGATTTAAGCGTCATGGACTTTGGTTGAACTAAATGGTGAAGCGACCAATGTATTAAATGAATACCAGACTGTTGTGGACTTGTGGACCATACCGCTAAGATTTAAGGGTGTTATTAAATAATTTTTTACTGTGGCACGCTCGCATCTGGTTTTACACATGCTGGGCACTACCACTACAAAGAGATGATCACCCACTGAGGGCATAAACAGGAACTGGTGTGGGCACAGCTGGTTTCTGTACACGTGTCTAATACTTGATATTTGTGTGTATGAAAGTCATCTCTTTTAAACTGTTCCTTAAAGGTGCACTATGTAATTTTTTTGGTTGGGGGTCCGTCACTCCACAGTGTGACATTAAATTGCTCTACTTTATATTTATTCAATTACAGGCAGTTTTATGGCTCAAAAATGCCTAAAAAAAGCAGGCATTCTGACTAGAAGTGATTCTCTATAGATCTGACCACTAACTTTGTTTTGGTCTCCATGGAGATTTAATACCATACAGTGAAACATTTCGGACATAGTAATATCATCTCCATAGAGAAAAGCATTTGATGGGCGCTCCACCAGAAAAATTACCCAATCCACCCACTATTGGAACCAGAACTCATTTTCTAATTTGAATCAGCACAGAGGCAGAGCACGCAACATCAGAGAGCTTTGTTTTAAAATGACTATTATTGTAGAGCAACGTTTATTTAGATTATGTATAATTACAAAGAGTAAACACTCCTACTTAAATAAACTAAGCCTTGGTTATATGCGCTGTCTGTGATCTGTTTGTAGCTAAAATGAGTTCTCACTTCAGCTTCTGTCATATAAATAAATAGAAAAAAAGACAATCTTTTGAACTGACATGAACTGATCCAAAAGATTCGGATCCCATAAAGAGCCGAAAGTCCCTTCACTGGTTTTCTTTTTAAGCACTGGTCTTATTTATTCTTAGCATTTATAATCTTACCTTTAAGTGATAAAATAAAGTGTAGGTAAGTAATCTAGAGTGTTTTCCAACCATTGGTACAGGGTAGTGAATTTTAAAATCATAATGTTTAAAGTACCAGATTTATTTTTTCTTTAGGTAAATTAGTCTAACTTTTGGCCAGAGCTCTCCCTTGTGTGATGTCATTAGTGTGTTTCGAACTCGACTTATTTTCAATTTCAGGTTTCAGTATAAATGTTTTCAGCTTTTCTCCACAAATTGCGTCTTGATTTGTGTAAAACGATTATTTATATTTACAACAGCATTATCTCACCAAATTAAGTAGAAACTAGATAATGATGAAAATCTATCATACGCACTCTAATAATATAACATCCCTACGTATTAATTTAACAAGTGCCTCAGCCTACAAATAGGACTGGGACATGCGACGCTGAAATAGCATGTTGTACTCACGTTGATAAGAAATCGTCCGCCTTTCGCCTCTCTACATCGGTGTCCTACGTAGTATCTTGCAGAAAATCGCCGCCTCTTCAGCCAACATTGTAGCCCGAGCACCCAGGCAAGGTGCTGATGCGATTTAAATATAGGATTCTCACTGTGCACCGCCTCATTCCCGGATTTCTGCTTTACTTGAGGCCACTCTCGGGAGACCGGGATCAGAACAGTGAACCCATTCACACTAGGTTTAGTGTAAACAGTGACATCTGGTGGTATGTTTAGACATCCGCATAGCAGGTGCATGACATGTTTTACGGGAGCAGACTTGATCTTCTTCTTTGGAAAATCTCACAGGGAGTGGGCTCCATCTCTCACCGAGAAAAATAAATTTGCTTTGTGTGACTGAGATGTAATTATGTGTAAGTAATGAATGTTTTTAGCTATTTTTTTTTTTTCTTGAATAGAGTAGCCAGAAATTGTACTCAAGCAACCAGTAACATAATTCCATATACTAGTAATGTCACTCAAGTAAAAAGTACAGAGTAGAAAGTAGTCCAAGTAGTTACTTAAGACGATTTAACCTAAAACAATGCAGGCCTAAATAAAAACCAAATAAATAAATAAATAAATAAATAAATAAATAAAGATTTTCAAAAGATGGTCCATAAATATTTGAATTTACATAGACATTTGCGCTAGAAAAACTTTTTATTTTTTTTTTTTTTACTTTAATTATTTATTTTTTACTACTACTGGAAGAAGAAGAAGAAGAAAAAAAAAAAGGCCTACTGTGCATCGTGCATCACTTTACGCTCATCGGTTCTACAAACAAGAACAAATATTTGGAAGCCAAATAAAGCACAAGCCAATTTATGCCAAAACAAAGTAACACTTCCCGTCCAGTAGATAGCGACATTCCACAATAATAACACTCCAGGAAGTAACAGGAAGTACCAGGAAGTAAAATGACTTACCATTTGCGTATGCGCCATCCGGTTCCCCACGCTTTTGTAGTTTTTCCAGAATTCTCTAAGATAAACACATTTTACTTTGATGGCAGTGAGTTATCCCACGCCGATCTACTCCCACGCGGGCCGGGGGGAGTTTAGTGAGGTGTACGAGCCCGCGGAAGACTCATTTTTGCTGATAGATGCGCTAGAAAAAGATGCAGAGATGCTGAAGGAAAGAAGGTAACATAACTACTTGCTTTACGTCAAGATACTATCAATTTAAGCGTTAAATTGAGGTTAAATTTGTTTTATTCTAGTCCAAGTGTGTGTTTAGAAGTTGGTAGCGGCTCTGGAGTGGTTTCTGCGTTTCTGGCTTCTGTGCTCGGGTCTGCAGCTTTGTATATGTAAGTTTACCCAACCCTCAATGCACAATTATTTAAAGCTACTACTATAGCGTAATATTCCACCATTTTGTACATTTACCTTTGTTTTGCAGTTGCACAGATGTGAATGCCGCGGCTGCAAAGTGCACAGCCAAAACCTCCACATGCAACAGTGTTTCCCTGCAGCCTGTAATCACCAATTTGGTAAGAAGATTTTAGTTGAATTGACTTTAATTGGTGTAAAATCTTGCGTCTAATCACTCGTCTCTTTAGGTAGACTGCCTTTTGCCTCGATTAAATGGCAAAGTGGATATCTTGCTGTTTAACCCTCCCTACGTGGTCACGCCTTCTGAAGAGGTAAGTTAATTGATGATTGCTCCATTTGTTGTCTGTAGTCAATTTAAAGGTGCACCATGTAGCTTTTTGTTCTGTCACCTGCTTGTCTATAGGGATCTTTGTTTGCAGTGTTCCATACTATAGCATTTTTCTAATTACATGTGCATTTATTGCAAGAAATATAGATGGAAAAACATCTAATCATACAGTAAACGGGCTCGCTTCTACTCAGATCTGACTAGCAACTCGGCCTGGTGGAGCTATCTTCTTGTCCACAGAGATAAGTTTAGGGATAGACAGATAAGTGATAAGAAAATTCTGAAATTTGTATTCTAAACAAAACATTTCAGTGGGAACTCCAGAAAAGTTATAGTAGACCTTTTATAATTATGTTGGATCAAACCTTCCTTCCATTACAATTTCCACTATATATTATTATGAAATCCCAGACAATGTTATGTTGTTTGATAATGTAATATTTGCATCAGGTGACCAGCAGAATAATGTTGCTATGACTAAAACACTGAACTGTATAATTAATGTAATACTTTATTTGACCACAGGTGGGTAGTTCAGGCATAGAAGCAGCTTGGGCTGGAGGAGAGAGAGGAAGAGAGGTTGTGGACAGATTTCTACCTGTGGTCTCGAAACTACTGTCCAAAAAAGGGCTGTTTTACCTCATTACCATCATTGAGAATAACCCAGGTGAATACAATGAACACAAGTTGTTTTTTCTTTTCTTTACAGCTTCCATAAATGTGAATTTTTGCCTTTTTTTCTTATCAGATGAGATTATCAGTATACTGGGGAAGTGTGGTCTGAGTGGAGAGGTCTGTTTGAGCACAAGAGCTGGAAATGAGCGGCTGTCAGTGCTGCGGTTCAGATGGAGAGAGGGAGCATGAGGCTGGTTTAAAAAGGTAATTTAAAGTTTAGGTATCATGGTCATTACTTGTCTTTGTAGTCTGATTAGGGGTTCATCCATTCTTACAATGTTTGATATGTAATGAATACAAATCCATAAAGCAGCGTTTGAATATTTAAAGCATTTTATTATTTTTTTATTCTTTTAGCCATTTTGTTACAGTGAATATGGATTTTGTTTACTATCCTTAAGGTTTGGTAGTATTAGAATGTGGGAGCAATTTATTTATTTATTTTCAAACACCACATGGTAATATAAAAGAAAACACTATTTAATGTTGTAAATGACCTTCCTTAGTATTGAAATTTGAAAGTTTAGTACCACGATGATACTAATACTGATAAAGAACACTGTAGTCAAACATTGGCAGGGTTTTTATTTTTCATGCACCTCTCTGTAAACTCATGGCAAAATGGAATGTATTTAGTGTAACATTACCCCCAGCTTAAATCTACAGCACATCTGAATAAAAGACACTTGTTGAATTGTCTACAGCTAATAGTCGTACTTTAATGCTTTTTTATTTATGTATTCCAGGTGATGTGTCCATCTTCTCTGAGCCGTACGGTGCCGCTGGCCACGAGCTCCATGGCGGCTGGGAACGCGCGGTGCTCTGCTTCTTTGATCCTCTCGCACAAACTCTCCTCTGTGTCGCTACTGAGCACTGGCACCGACTCCTGGACAATGATGGCACCTGCATCCACCTCCTCCTATAGGCACAAGGACAATGGGAGTACATGGGAGAAGGAACTGTGATGATATGACAATGTGAGGAAGTACTTACTGCTACAAAGTGGACAGTGCACCCGCTAACCCGCACCCCAGCCTGCAGGGCCTGTTTCTGGGCATTCACTCCCTTGAACGAAGGCAGCAGAGAGGGGTGGATGTTCAGTAGTTTTCCTGTTAAATGTAAATACAAAAACGTGACTTTGTTGGATGGTAAATTAAATGAATCAACTGAAATATTTGGAGTATTTCTTCCTTTACCGTTCCATTTTTTGACAAAGTTCCCAGTCAGGATTCTCATGAAACCAGCCAAACAAACCAACTCCACCCCAAACTCCTCCAACACGCGGTCAATGGTTCCATCAAACTCTGCTCTGCTGCCGTACAACTTATGGTCCACTACCTGTTTGTAACAACACATTTCATGGCAACATTTCTATATAAAGCAAGTGTAGTTAAAAATACATATAATACTGTGGATAAATTCCATTCCATTACCATTGAAATGTACGCAGTGTTTTGAAAGCTTTCAAACTCAGCAGGTTTGTGCCTCATCACCTAACAAATCTCCAGTTAGCCTACTACAATCAAACGTTTCCTGACCCAGCAGTTAAAGGGCTTTTGATTTACTTTACATGTATGATTTTGACAAGTCAGTCCATCTCTATGGATATTTTGTTTAGATTTTCAACCAAAATGTAAACTTTTTGATATATGATCTTATGTTAAATTAAAGATCATATTATAGAGAGGTGATTCTGTGTTGTTGATTTTACCCGTGTCTGGATGCCGGCCAGTGCTGCCCTCTTGAGGCCTTGTACTCCGGGTCTGTTTGAAATCACCACAACGATCTCTGCGGAGCTGGAAGGGCGCCGGGCCTGCTCTATCAGGGCCTGCATGTTTGTGCCTAAACAAAACCATATTTAAGAGTTAAAGCATCACACATGGACATTATCATTGTTCGTTTCTATAAACATTTGCAATTCAGACCTGTGCCAGAGATAAGGACTCCCACTCTTTTCTTTATGCGGGGTGTGCTGTTGTCACTATTGCCATTTTTCTCCAGTTTCACATCTGCAGCAGCGCCCCCTTCTGAGTTTAGCAGGCTTTGCTTCAGATTACGAACAACCACAGTTTCTGCACCTAAAATAAAGAAATTAGCTTGGTCGTTCACCTACTAACCTTTTTAAAGATGATCTGTGCAACTTTTCTCCATGGAGATGCTATCGTTTTAGCTGAAATGTTCTGTGTGGCATTTAGCATGTCTATCTCCATGGAGACAACCAGAGGGGACAGACAAGCCAAGTTATGAGTCAGATTTGAGGAGAGATGATTGTACTCACAGTAAGAATACATTACATACAAGGTATTTCTGACCAATAAAACATATTTAATAGAATGCCAGATAGTATGTCCTACTGTGCAACATTCCAGGTAAAGAAATATGTCATCTTTAAATTCACAACCTACCCAGCTGCTTTTTGTCCAGAGACCCCACTATCCAGGCCTCTTCGTAGGCTTGTAGCTGCCGCAGGACTCTCTGAGCATCCAGGGGGGCGACCACCAGAACTGCCCCCAGCCCACAGTTAAATGTACGGGACATTTCCTCTTCACTGAGACCCCCTTCTTTGTGTAACCAGGAGAACACAGGGGGGATGCTCCAATGGGAAGCATCTAAATCACGAAAATGGCAGTATATAAATAGGAAATTCTTCAATGTTGTCAAAGATTTTATTAAATTTGAACATACCAAGATCTACTGCCAGCTCAGGGGGCAGCACTCGGGGTATATTTTCCAAAAGTCCTCCCCCTGTGATGTGAGCATAGGCTTTCACTGCTCCACTTTTCAGTATGGGCAGAAGCAGGCGACTGTAGATCTTTGTAGGGGTCAAAAGAACTTCACCTGGAAATAAAGAGTTCATATAAATAGTTTAATGTAAATTTCAGATATTTGTAGCAGTTAATAGATCATATTGGATATAATATTATGACCACCTGACCCAGTTATTTTCTTTTGTTTAAGTTTAAGTTAAGCATATTATAACTCATACTCTAACGTTGTTTCTAGATTTTGACACGTGGAACTAGTTACTTAAGGCATGAGCTTTTTTTGGCTTAAGTTTAACTGAGCTTATTCTGTGATGTAATATGTCATCCTTTTCTAATCTTTCTATTGTGCAGCCCAAATGAAAACCATAAGGGACACTGACAACCTATTATTTTGGTATGAGATGTAAAAACTAATGAAAGTAATATACAAATGAGGGATATTGAGTCTAAAAATATTATTAATCTTATAGAATAACAAGCTGCTTAAATAATGCGACAAGCTACTTAAGACATGTGAAATCTAAGACAAATATTTCATTTTCCTTTTCCTTCTGATAGACACTGCCCACTGTTTCTTTGCACTACTTACCAACAGTCTGCCCTGGTTTGCCAAAAGGAGCGGGTGAGCTGTAGGTGAGGTGTGCGCGCTCCAGGACTTTGCGGACCAAGCTGAAACCGTTGCTATGGACACCAGATGAGGCGATCCCAATCAGAAGATCACCCTCGGCGATGTCCCCAAGTCTGGGCAACAGCGCCCCCCTCTCCACCGCACCCACACAGAACCCAGCCAGGTCGTATTCACCAACAGGGTACACGCCGGGCATTTCAGCTGTTTCACCACCTAAACATTACACAAGTGAGACTTAAAAGGTTGTATGGAGGATTTTTTTTGTTTTTTTTTGTTTCAAGTTGTCAATGATACCATAATAGAGGTGCAGTAGCCTTGTAATTATGATGACCAAAAAAAAAGAGAATAAAAATTCATCAATTCTGGACGTGGTGGGGCCAGCTAAACATTTGCCAATAGATAACGACACTGCCTCGTTATCTGTTAGCTGACAGGCTGTCAATCAATCTCCCTACGTTTCTAGCGTAACTGACTTGCCTGCGCGCCGCCGGTACGTGGTTTACGTACGCCTGTCACGCAGTCCACAGACGCAAGACGCACAGACGCTGTTTACTCCACCAACGCAACAGTTCTTAGCGGCTTTTTTTTACCTATATCTTCCTCGCAGTTAGCACAAAGTTTGTTGCAATGGCAGACAAGAATCCAGGAGCAGTTAGCCGCAAAAGAAAGTCCGTTTTTGAGGTCGCTGAAAGAAGAAGACAAGGGGAAAAGCAGCGAAGCCAAACTAAGGTGATTCTTGAAGATTCATTCCAGCGATGGCGCGACTGAAGCAGACGCAGGGTCTAAAGACTGACGCACTGGTCGCCAAATTACTCCTGGACAGGTCACTTCTGCTTATTATGAAAACGTACTTTATTTCCAAGAGCTAGACAAACGTTTTTCAGGACACGAAAGCGATATCCTATGTCTGAAAACGTAATTTTCAAGGCAAAGAAAGAGTCCGCTTGCTGCTGCGTGTTGTAGCTAGTTCATTCGCACTCTATCTCCGCGCAACCTTCTCTGCACCCCTTACTGCTCCTGTCCCCGCTGCCCGTTCCGCTCTTCCCCCTGCTCCTCACTTCTCCGGGCACGGAATCTCCACGCACCGCTCTCCTCTCCTCTCCTCTCTCCCTGCTCCGCTCTTCTCCCTGCTCCTCACTTCTCGTCCGCGAACGAAATGTCCGCGCACCCGCTCCCCCCGCTCCTCACTTCTCCGCCTTGCCTAACCAACACTGTAGTTAATTGTTTACAAGTCATGTGCAGCGCACCGGCTGTAAACAAACCTGTTTCTGGTGTAAGGAGGAGGCGGGAGGAGGCGTTTCTACGTAGGGAGCTGTAGGGGAGGGGGGGTGGTTTCACGCATGCGCAACATTTGAAAAAGGACAAACAGTCGCTGGATTTCTCGTTCCTTGGAAAATCCTCTATACAACCTTTAATATACTCCAAAATGATTACACACATAATATTAACTTGAGTAGAGTAGTTATGACAATAAGGCATTTCGGTCTATTTTAAAAATAAAGTATGTAACTTTTCTGGGGAAGAGTCCTGCTTGTCTCCATGGAGAGGTTATTGCTTTGCCTGGAATATTAAACAATATGGCACTAAACTAATCTGTTTCCACAGAAACAAGCAGGTGACTAGCCTTGCAAGAAAAATGAATTCTAACCATTTCTGTGAGCTCACAAATTCTTGAGAATCCGTCTTATTCAGATTCAGCCAAATTTTTTGCATGTGACAGATCCCATTCACAGAAATAATGCATGCTTTTCCAGGTACTTTTGTGCAATAAATTGTTATATTGGTACATATATTTTTATAGTTTAAGCTAAAATGATCTGTGCAAGAAGTCAAGAAATCTTGCTCCATGACAGTGATAATTAAGTGTTCTGTTTAGAATATTATATTGAAAAAAAAGTCAAACAACATAAACCATCTGACAAAACTACAATATAATTATAGTAGAATTCAAGACATTTGATTTATTTGTGAATAAAGTGAATCCTTACCCAGCAGTGCACACCCGGCCATCTCACAAGCTTTAGCGATGCCCCCGACCACTTTAGCAGCTACATCCACATCCAGCCTCCCACAGGAGAAGTAGTCCAAGAAAAACAAAGGCTCTGCCCCCTGAGCCAGAATGTCATTCACACACATGGCCACCAGGTCCTGCCCAAGGCCCTCGTGCTGGTTACAGGCCTGTGCTATCTGAAACAAATTTACTCATATTAATTAAGTTCAACAGAAAACTACACTCTCATTTAGGGAACCAAAAGCTACAGTTTTCCTGTTGGCACGAATAAAAGCTTTTTGCTGATTTTTTATTTTTTAAAGAAACCCTCCAAAAATGTATAGATTGAATGTAAACAAATTATACTCAAAAGGTCCACAATGAAACTTTCCTGGTGCACAGCCTGGCACCTTCTTATCTAAATGGAGATGTTATTGCTTTGCCTAAAATGTCCCAGCTTCCAAGACCAGTGATCTGGCCAGGTAGCATCACTTATTAATC